CATTATCAACTATAATTATCTAAAAGTATTACTTAATCTACTAATTACTGGTTAATTATTTTCTTACTTGTGTAAAAGCTTTTAAGTTTGAAGACGTGAGACAGTATCCATTATAGACTTATTAGTAAAGATTAAGTTTCTGTTAATCCCTGATTTTATTTACATTTACTTATTCTTTAAAACGTAGTATTTAGATATAATTAATACTAATTAATAGATTAATTAATTAGTTACTAATATATATTAATATATATATTCACAAGTTCAGTTATATATTAAAAATTATTTAGTTTTATATTTTAGCTAAAACTTAAACTTGTAGCTTTTGTAGTATTGATATAACTTTATCAATATTTAAGCTATTAAAATTCTAATCTAAGATTCTTAAAGTATAGGTTATGATTTATTTATTTTATGAATTAAATTTTCAATTTTATATTTAATAAAAATTTTTTTACATTTTAAATTTGTTTAATTTTTACTATAGTAAAGTTCTTATTATAAAAGTTCTGCACTGTAACTAAAATTTTATTTATAATAAGAACTTAAATTATATTATTATTATTAAATCAATTTTATTTATTCAATATATATATAAAATAAATCAGAAATTTAATTTATTAAATGTATAAATAATTATTAATCAAAAATTTTAATATTATTAAATATTTAAATATTAATAATAAATATTAATTAATAAATTATTTGATTTATAATCAATTTATAATAAATACTGATTACTTTTATTATACATATTAAAATTTAGATCAATAAATATATTATAATTAGTATAATTACAGTCAACTCTTGATATAGCGAACTCTTAATATAATGAATTTTTTGAACAAATATAATAAAAATACTCTAGTTATAGCGAATTAGCCAATAAAATCTCTTGAAATCTTCACTATAGCCTTATAGTGAAGTTGAAGTCTAGGATATAGAGTTCATTATAATAAGAGTTGACTGTACTAATTAAATAATATTTTATTTGTATTTAATCTTTAATATTATATCATTTTCAAAATATATGATTTTAAAATTAAAAATATTAGGCTAGTTTATATTTGATAATTTGGCATTTTAATTATAAATTTTAACAGTTAATCAAAAGTTGTAATTAAATTTTATAATTAAGTTAGTTGATTTGTTAATTACATAGATTAATCAATAAAAAAAATTAAAAAAAAATATTTGAACATAAAAAAATAAAAATTTACTATCTTTTTATGTTATTAAAGCTTTTTTAAATGCAGAAGAAATAGAAGATTTACTTAAAAAGAAAGAAAGTTTTAATATTCAAGCAAATAAGAAAATAAAATAGTAATTTTTGAATTAAGTTCTTTATTTGAAATATAATATTTTGAAGAGAGAATTTATATAAAAAAATCAAAAGAGTGGTATAATTTTTTTTATCAAATTATGATGATATTAGGTTTAAAAAAAAAATAGAACTTTATAATTTTCAAAACTTATATCAATTTTATATACTTATTAAATTTTTTAAAATAAAGTAACAATTCTTAAATTTTATTAAATTATAATTTATAGTTTTTTTAAAAAGGATTAATTTTAAAGAAAATATTTTTAAAATATATTCAAGATTTAGTATAACTGAAGAAACCATTTATTTATATTTAAGAAAATAATAGCTTCAATTTTTTTATTAAAAAAATTTAGTTAAATGATCAGTAAGTAAAGCAAAGTAAAATGTATATAAAAAATTTAAAAATATTAGTAGAATGGTCAAAATAATAAGAGTAATAAATGGAAGTTATGTAATATTAGTAAATGTTCTATTAAAATAATTAGAAATATATTGAAATAGAAAAAAAATATTCTATATAATTAGAATTGTAGATCATAAGAGTATATTTATAAATTATGAAATTAGATAACCTGATTCAGTTCATAATATTAAAGTATAGAAAATTCATATTTTTTTTTAAATATTTCTAAAATTATCAAAGAAAAGAAAATTTACTTAGAGATTCAAAATATCCTTTATCAACTTTTTTAATTAAACTTTTTACAAATTCTCAAATTCTTTCACATATTCAATTTAATATAATTCATTTCTTATACAAAGTAGTAATTGAAAATGCTTTTAGTAGATTTATGAATAGATTTATTTTTTTAAAAAGTTTAAATATTAGAAAGATTTCTATTATAATTATATTAATTAAGTATACAATTATTTACAAACTTTTTAAAATTAAGTAATAATAGTATAGAAGATTTATATAAAGAAAATGATAATAGTGATAATAATAGTGATGATAATGAAAATATTACAGATTAAAATAAAATAAACAAAAAGAATAGGAGAAAGAAAAAGAGAGTAAATAATAAATCAAATTATTCAATAAGTTAAATAATAATTTGTTTATAATATATAAAAATAATTTATTAATAAATTGTTTTTTATTTTATAAAAATGCAAATATTTTATATATTTTATATGATTAATAAATGTTATACAAATATTTTATAAATTTTTATTATAAACATCAATAAATATTACGTAAAATATTTTATTATAAGTATTAAACATTATATAATAAACATTACGCAATAATTATAAAAAAACAAAATTAATTTGAATTTTTTTTAGATTATATTTCTTTCAATTTTAAATCAAATTTCATTTTCATTTTCATTTTTTCTTTTTTTCTTTTTTACTTTTTCATTTCTAATTTGCTTATTTTAATAATATGACTTTTTTTTTCATTTTTTCTTTTTCTAATTCAATTCTTTTTTTTATATTTTTTTTTTAGTTTTACTAGTAGTAATAGTAATTATAATAGAATTTACATTACTTTTCTTTTGTTTTTTATAAAGTTTAGATTTATTAATTATCAATTCTTTATTTTCAATAATATTTCTATTTGCTATAAAAAAAGAAACTATATTTTCATAAGTATCAAATATATTGTTTATTTTTTCATACTATTTTTAATTTTTCTCTTTATACCAGATTTTTCATTATGTTTTTTAATTTTACTATAAGTTTTGATCTTTTTTATCAATTTATTTTTAATAGCATTAAATTTCTTGTTTTTCAATATTTTTGCTAAAATTTCATTAAACATCTTTGATTTATTACCTTTTTATATTTATTAAAATTATCTATAATATATTAATTTAGGAGGTTAACTTCATAATATTATCAATTATTATTCAAGTTATTAATTAGATTTATCTAAATCTAATTAACATTTAGTTGATTTTCTTTTATTAGAAGTTTCTGTAACCTTTAAATTAATTAAAAATTAATTAATATAAAAAATAACACTTTGCAATTTAATAAAATAATTTAATAAAATACTTACTTCTAATATTTCTTTAAAGTTTTTTTTTTAGAAATTTTCTTTTCTTGATTAAAAATTCTTATTCTAAAGTATTCTTCTAAAATTTGATTAAAAATACTTTTAAAGGTATTGTTAAAAATAAAATCTTAATTTTGTAATAATTTTGGTAGAAGATTTTAATAAAAAAATTAAAAAGAGCCAAATTATATTATTTAAAAAGAGAAGAAGAAGTACGAATCTCTCTGTTAGATTTATATAACAGAATATTTTTTAGAAAAACTTTTTTAAATATTTTCTTTTAAAAAATCTATTGGTAAAAAGAAGTTGAAAAAATAAGACATATTATATTATATATTACATTATATATTCTCTATTTTTAAATTATGTTATTCAATTTTAACTAGATTATTTTTTGCAATTAAAAAACTACCTTTTTGATTAATTATAAAGATCAGTTTTTTGACTATACATAAATTAAATTTATTGACTAAAATTTTATGTAGCCTAACTAAAAATACCAATTGATTAGATATAAACTAGCCTATTATTAAATATATATAATTACTATTTTTAATTGTACAGTCACCTTTTAATATAGTGAACTCTTGATATAATGAATTTTTAAATAAATATAATAAAAATACTCTTATTATAGCAAATTAACCAATTAAATCTCTTAAAATCTTCACTATAATCTTATAGTAAAGTTAAGATCTAAGACATAAAGTTTGTTATAATAAGAGTTAATTGTATAATTATTTAAAAATATAAGATTTTATTATTTTATAATATAAAATATTTTTATTAATTTAATTATAACTTGTTTTAATATAACTATTAATTATAAAAATTTTTCAATAATGTAATTATAAATAATATAATATTAGATAAATTTAATTATATATTATAACTTTAATACTTGTTATAAATGAATATAAGATTTATTAAAAAAAAAATAATAAATTTTTGTTGATTTATTTTATTTTATTTATAAAAATTTTAATTATAATTATTAATTTGATAATTATATAAAAATTTTATTTTATAAATTTAAATTTTAAGTAATTAATTTATAATTTAAAAGTTTATTATTATATATAAATAAAAATTAATTATTATTTTTAAATTTTATAAGATATATTAAAATATATAAATAGCTTTTTAATTATAATAATTATTTATTTTTAAATATATTAAAAGATGTTTAAATAAAGTATAAAATATTTTAATAATATTTTTTTTTTTTTTTTTATAATTTGTTATTTTTTTTTATTTTGAATAAGTTTATTAAATTATAAATTATTAATAATATAATATATAAATCAGTAATATATAAATTTAAATAAATATATAAATATTTATGATAAAATTATATAAAAAATAAAAAAAAATATATATATATAATTTATATCAGTTAAATTTATGATTATTATATAGCTTTTAATCAAATTAATTCAAATATATAATTACTTTTTTTATTTAATTTTTAGATTTATACAATATCTAATTTTCTAAAATTAGAATTCTTTTTAAGGATTTTATTAACTTTTTCTAAATTTGGTAAAGCCCAAATTTTTGTATTAAATGTTGATCGGGTCGGAATAATAAATACCATCATTCTTATTTTAAAAAAAAATTATTTTTTTATATTTATTCTATTCGACTTAATTTAATTATTAGTTGTAAAAAATGATAGATTTAGGTCGATTGTTTATAATAGGAGTAACGTTTTTAATAAGTTTCCTAGCATATACGTCTCAAATTTTTATATTTTGGGATCATTTAGGAGGATTAAATGTAGATTGTTTAAAAGTACTAATACCATTTAATGTTTGTGTGATAATGATTTTTTGGAATTATTATCTAACATGTACTACAGATCCTGGTAGAGTACCTAAAGGCTGGGTAGGATATCAAAGAATTTAAAGGGGGACTTGAAAATTTTAACCATTTAATGAAACAAATTTTTTATTATATAGTATCCGGAAGAGAATCAAGAAAATGTCGAATTAAAGCGAACGACACGCGCTCCAAGATATTGTAAGACATGCGCTGCATTCAAGCCACCAAGAACACATCACTGTCGTACTTGTAAAAGGTAAAGTCGCAAAATGTTGAAACAATCGTTTTTAAATGATGATTATTAATTCATGATTTGTTTCTATTTTTTTTTTTTTAAAAAAAAAATAATATATATATATATATTTTTTAGATGTGTATTAAAAATGGATCATCATTGTAGGTTATAAACGTTGAATTGATTTTTTTTTATAATATGAAATTTGTCTTAGATAATTTAGTTAATCATAATCCAATCTTGTTAATTTTTATTAAGGTCCATGGACCAACAACTGTGTGGGACATTATAATTATGGGCACTTCATCAGATTTGTATTTTGGGTTGATGTAACATGTACATTTCATTTTATATTAATGATAAGAAGAACTGCAAAAATCATTCAAGATATGTCTTATTACAGGGTAAATATCGGGATAATTTATTTGTTCGAGTTTAGTCTTTACCTTTATTAAAAATAAATCTTTGCATTGAAATTAATTAGGTTGATAGTGAACCTACAACAACGGAAACAATCTTTTTAATATTAAATTATATTGCAGTTATACCGGTATTATTTTCAGTTGGTATATTAAGCTTATATCATTTTTATTGTATGTTATCAAATACCACAACAATTGAAAGTTGGGAAAAAGATAAAGTTTCAACAATGGTCAGGAGAGGAAAGATCAAGGAGGTATTAACAAAAAAAAAAAATAATCATTTTTTGGAATTTATTAATTTCTTTCTTAAAACGATCGCTTCTAAAAAAATTGTTATTATATTATAATTATTTTAATCTTTAGATTGTATTTCCTTATGATATAGGAATATATAAAAATATCAAATCAATACTTGGGAATAATCCATTATTATGGTGCTTACCACGAAAAATGCATGGAACTGGATTATCTTACCCTGTAACTAAAGATGCAGGTAATAATGATGAGAGTGATTTGGTTTTGGACATTGTATCAAAGAAATATTAAATAATAAAAAATAATTTTATGAAAGAAAAAGGCGTGATGTTTCTTTTGAGATTGTAAACGTTTGTGAAGTGGTGAAGTGACGTTTAAGCAAATAATTTTTTTATTTTTAAGAATAAAGAAATTTTAGACTTTAACTAACTAATCAAAAATAATTTTCTTAATAAAAAAATTCTTATCCTTCCAATAATAATATAAATTGCAGATCCAACAATATGGCCACCAAAAGATCCAACTTTACCATTATCAAATTCAGCGAAACCATGGAACAATAATAAGGATGGTGATGATATATTTGTTACTGATTCATTGTTAGACAATGAAATCAAGAAGAGGAGAAGAAATACTAGAAAAAGTACTAGTAGCGATATAATAATACAACAAAATGGAGGAGAATTTAAATATTCACAGAGAAAAATTAGGAGGGATAGTGAAGGATATATTGTTAAAGATATTACTTTGGAAGAAAAAGGATATTATTATGGAGAAGAAGGAGTAGAAGATGACTTTGATAGTGAGGGTAGTGTTACTTATCCTAGTAGTGATGAATACTCTGATGACATTAGTGAAAGTGAATATGTAAGAGAATATGAAAATGATAATGAAGTTGTTGAAAATGTTGATGATCATTCAGAAAGCATTGGTTCTAAACGTTACAAAGAATTATATCAAAATCCATATGAGGATGACGATAATTTACCTATTGGATTAATGATTTCTAAAAAACAATTAGAAGCCATGAATGTCACATCGGATTTTCAAGCTCATAACCATAGTAATGAGGATGACGATAAAGTTATGGCATATACAATTAACGATAATAATGAAATGAATGATATGGAAAAGAGTTAATTATTTATAATAATAGAATTAGACATATAATTAGGTTATGGAAAATATTAATAGTAATAATTCAATTAATTATAATCTTTTACATTTTTACTTAATTAATTTAAAGATTTGAGATATGTAATAAAAAACCAAATTTATTTCATGATATTATACAAATGCACGAATAGAGAAATATATAGCAAAGAAATCAACAACAAAAAAGAAAAAAAATGAATGAATCATGATTTTTTTGTCTTTCCGTCGGATTTAATGGTGGTAGTTGCAGCTTTACCACCACTACGATGTTTATGTTTCTTTTCACCAGTTTTATCAAATCTTTTTACTATCGCTTCAATTATTTTAAAAAACCAAAATGCATTTAAACAATTTAATATAATATTCGACGTTCCATAAATCACACATAAAAATGTTGGTACTTGATCAATCACTGCAATAACCGATCCTGTGAAAAGAAGAAAAAAAAAAATAATCAACTAAAAGGTTTAAAAAAAAAATGAGAATTCCAAAAAAAAAACTTACGGAATGTGTGATAAGACATGTAAAACCCAAACATAATCCTTGCACAGAAGAACGTTACAATTAAACATATTCCATTAATTAATTGTGGTAACGTTCCTGTCATTCCCAATTTATCCTAAAAAAAAAAAATTATACATTTATATATATATATTTTTTTTTAAAAATTTAATTTTTCTTCTTTTTAATTTCAATATTTACTGCTGTACATACCATGAACCAATGTATGTTTACAAATGGAGTCGAAATTTCAAACATCAAAAATACCGCACCATAATAATTCAAAAATGGTCGCTTGATAAAAGAAGTTTTAGTCTCCATTAGAAATCATATAGGGGATTCGTTTTTAATTTGATACTTACGTAAGCAAACAGGAAGACACCAAAACAGCACGTTCCATGTAATACAAATCCAATCCCGGATTCCTTCACATGATAAAGAGACACCATAGCATCCCAAAGGAAATATCTAATAAATAAAAAAAAAATAATCATTATTATTTTTTTTATTTTGAACAAGTTTTTCTTTACAGGAATTTTCACTAATAACTCACCCACAAGCAATAGCATAAACATTCCCAGCATAAGTATCATAGCCAAAAACTTTATCATTAATCAATTCCTCATCCCAAAAAATGGGTATAGATAATATAACAACTAATAAGCAATTAATCGAACTAACAAAATGTATATCCCAATTAAACCTTTTGATGCCATATAAATTTTTATAGGTTTTTGGAAAAATTATTGGAGAAATTATACGAGAAATTACAGCCGCAAAAGTAAATCCTAATGTAGATAACAACATAACATGCCAATGATAGGTTAATTTTGGTAGTGAAATTGAATTAAAAAATGACTCAAATAAAAGTGGTTGTTTATCTTCCATGTTGGGTGATGATATTTATTTTAACAAGTTGTTGAAGTAAAAGAAAAAAAAAAAGGTAAAACTGACTGTATTTATTAAGTTTTTTTGAATTGTATTGATTGTATTACAGTTTGTACGTGATTGATCTATACGAAAAAAAATGCTTTGGGGCAATTGCATGTAAATCATCTGATTGAAATCGTATTATTTTTCCATTCGGAATTGTAGTCGGAAATACAATACGAAATCCCTCTTTTTTGGGGGGAATTGGTAATCAGCTATTACGAAATATTTACCGAATATATTATCAAAAATTCTTAGGTCACACGATATTATGATCATGTGACACAAAGAAAATAATTTTAGAAATGGAATCCCTTAAAATGAACTGCGGGACTGCGGGAGGCTTAAAAAGGCTATTAGAGAAAATTGATAATAGATAAGGTTTATTTATAATTCGGTAATGTAGATCAAATATTTATTGGTTTCAACATGACTAATAATGTGCTCCTTTTTAATATGAATGAGGATAAAAATTATTAAATAATCCCAAAAGAAAATAAATAAAAAAAAAAATTTCTATTACTGTTACATACTTGATCTAAAAAGCAATTTGTTGTTTGCAGTAGCTTCTTTGTATTCTTTCACTAAACTAGAAATATCTTTGAACTTGTTGTCTTTGGAGTCACCTAACAATTGAAACAGAACAGATTCTGAGGTTGTGATTACTGCTCCTACTTGACTCATTCGCTATTAAAAGTACAAAAGGTAAATAAAATGAAAGTTCAAAGAAATCGAATAAATTAAAATCAAAAATCACTCACATGCAATGCAATATCGACTTCTGGAAGGTGAATAGATGAGATTCCATCTTGCAACACATGGACGTCAAAACCTTTCTCCAAAAAATCTAAAGCTGTTTGTAACACACACACATGGGCCTTAGGAAAATAAAAAGTTATATGTAAATTATCTAACATTATAAGATAGTAAATTGGATGGATTTTTCTACCTCAATTCCAAAAAGTACAACAGAACTTGGTTTTATTTTTATTTCGGTCAAACTTCTTTGTATCTCTTCGGTATACATTGAAAATTTTGTTTTTTCATAGACTTTAATAAGGTCATGAGTTTTAACATCAATATCAGCAACTATTTTTCCAAGAGCTATATAAATTAAAAAAAAAAATTAATTTCATATGATTCAAGAAGGCTATGGTAATCAGCGAGATAGAATAAACTCAAGTTTTTCTTGAATGTTGACATTCTTAACATCATAAAAATTTGCTTTGAAAACCATTACTTGCGTATTGCGAATTAATTTACAAAACATACCTTTCGGATTCTTTTAAAGGAATTAAATAGATAATGATTAATAATTTAATAATTCGAACCATGTTAAATTGAAATAACATTCAAACCTGTTCAGTAACTAACACAGGAATCTCCAAAATTTTCGATACCGCAATCATTTTTTTGGCAGTTGATACTAAACTTGTAAATTCATAAACATGTGGTTTGAATTTTTCTTGAATATCACAAAGAAGAAAAATGGTAGAATCTTTAACTAGTTTCTTAACTCTATTAGAAGCCATGGTGAATTTCAACAAATGAGAAAATTTTTTGTGAATCAAAAAAAGTTTCTGCCGATAATCTTAATCGTGCGACAGAACTAAATGATCCTGCAGATCTTAACATAAGACGCGAAATTATTTTTTTCTACGTAAAAAATTAAAGTATAATATATCATACCCATAAAATTTTATGTAAAGTTCCAGGTACTATACATGAAGATTAAGTGAGCTTTAAAGAAATTCATTATGCGGATGGCGCATAAACTGCACAGTAAAAATAATCACTACTGTTCGAGGGTATTATACTTAACGGGATATTATATTTTACAAATTTATTTAAGAAAGCAGTAATATCAAAACTATGCACAATATAAATGAGATATATATAGAAAATTTACAACGCGTGTACTTGGCACGGTTTATTTTTAGCAATAAAAAAAATATTTAGTATTTCATCCTTTGGCTGCGATTACCGCCTGAATTCTAATTGGCATAGATCGTACCAAATTTCGATATACTTTTTGCGGAATCGCATCCCAAACCTCTTTTACCACCTTTTCAAGTTCACGAATGCTTGATGGCTGAGGATTGCGATTTCGAATTCCCAACTCAACTGCAGCCCACAAGTTTTCAATTGAGTTTAAATCGGGACTTTAAGCAGGCCATGGAAGCACCTCTACATTTTGGGAATGCAGAAACTCTTGTGCAATCTTCGAAGTGTTGAACTGGTGCATTGTCTTCCTGAAAAATGAATTTTTTTTTAGTTTTCCGAGCAAATGCTTTGAGTGTGGGAACTGCATAAGTGGATAGCACTTCTTTGTATACTTTTCCAGTTACTGAACCTTCAAGTGGAACAATGGGACCTAATTTTAAAAAGGAAAAACATGCCCAAAACATTCTTTGAGGAAAATGTTTTACTGTTGATGCAATGCAATCTTCATGAAACTCTTCTTCTGGCTTTCTCCAACTCCCCCATCCGGATTTTTGAAACTGTGAAAATGTGAACTCATCTGTCCAGACTATCTTTTTCAAGTCTTCTAAAGTCCAATGTCTTCTTTCTATTACCCATGCAAGTCATTTGGATTGCTGAAATGAAAGGTTTCTTCCAAGGAATACAAGAATGCACATTTTCCTTGTAAAGTGCATGATGAATTGTTCTTATATAGATTGGCTTATTGATTTCAGCAGAAAATATATTAGTAATTTCTGCCAGATTTTTTCGTCATAATTCCTTGTTTTTGAAAACGATGGCCTTAATCTTTGCCTTTTTTGGCTGTTGATCAAGCAAGATCGACCTGGTCATTTTTTGGATGGTACTTCTGATTCAAAAGCTGCAATCTTTGTTGTGACCTAATTTTTTGGCTACAATAATGCCTCCTTTTGTGTAGAAGTTAATTCTTTGGTGAGACCCATCTTGTGTAAAATTGAAAATGATAGAGATTTTTAAACCTGATTTTTTACAATTTGTAATATATTAAAACAAAATAATAAAACAAATATTTCATTTAAGAAATATATAGCTAATATAGTATAAAATCACATGGCAAATTGCATATTAACAATTTTATTATATTAGTTAAATTTTGACCATACAATATTTTTATCACTCTCCAGTATGTATAAATATATTAAAAGTAAGAGTATAAATAACATATAAGATTACAATATAAACTTATTATTTAATTTAAACTAATAAATTTATTTGCCAGAAAGTCAGATTCAATGTAGCGAGATCATAGTTTTATATAAGCAATTCTTTATTATCTGCTTTATCTGGTCAAATTTATTCATAAAATGAAAATAATGTATAATATTAATCTTTTCAAATCATTCAAAATCAATTAATTTAAATCAAATTTATTATACTTAAGCTTATGAATTAGAATATTTCTTAAGACTATGTTATTGATAATGCTTATCAAATATTTTTGCAAATAAGTTTCATTTTAAAGGTATCATCAAAGTAAGATCAAATTTTCTTCATTTGATATTCTTTTTTCTGAAGTATACTTTTTATTTTGAGTTAAAATTTGCAAAAAAGCAATTACAATTTTATGATCAGAGTTATATAATAAGAATCTTAATAAATCACTGTATAGAAAATCTATCATA